ACTGAAGGTGAATTAGAGGTTGCCATTCCAGGTGAGCTGCCTATTGAGTATTCAGTCTGATTACTTGACACAAAGTTTGCGGGAAGGTTAGACAATGTGGCTATTTATCGAGCATTCATTCTGATTTGTTAGTGGGCAGGTTGTAAAGCATTGTGCCTGTTATGCCACCTAATAATGATAATAATAATTGATTATTTCTACCCCGCCCATCTGGCTGGGTTTCCCCAGCCATTCTTGAGCTCCTGGGAGTAACGGTAGAATATAAATATAATAATAATAACAACATGAATAGTTTTCTTCAACCTTGGGTCCACAGGTATTGTTAGATTACAGCTCCCATCATCCATAGAGAGCTTTGCCAATGACAGTGCCGGCTCACCCATGAGGTGGATTGAGACAGCTGCCTCAGGTGGTGGAATCCCATGGGGCAGTACCCCTGCAGTCGCTCTGCCTGGTGCTATCTCTGCTGCTGCTGGAGAAGCGAGGAGAATTGGTGGGGAGCTGCAACTTCCCGGTTTGCCTCAGGCAGTGAAATGGGATGGGCCGCCCCTGGCCTGGCCAGTGGTCAGGGATGCTGGAAATTGTAGTTCAACGGGATATGGGGACCCAAGGTTGAAGAATACTGTTCTGGATGATGGTCTCATTTTTATCTCAACCTTTCTCTCAGAAGCTCCAGGCAGCAAAGCCTGAAACCAGGATGGAGCAGCAGTCTGCTGGGGCAGAGTTGGCTCCAGCATGTTTCCTTCCTGGATACCAAAGAGGCTTGAATGAAAAGAAGCTGCTCAATTTTAACAGCCTATTAATGCAAAACGACCATTTATGTCCCAGCTGCATCCTTGAAAAACTGTCCCTTAAAGTTTGAAAGCTGTACAAAGTCCTTATACCTGTGCTGTCTGTTTCCTGAAACGAATGCTTTTAAAATGCTGCCATTTTTATTTTTTAAAAAAACCCCATTTCTAAACCTTTCCTAGCTGTATGTTGTGCTGTCCAGCAAGGAAAGGCAATAAACACTGCTAGCGGTGTTAGAACATAATTACTAATTTCCTAGTGGAAATTTGTGAGCGAGGACCAAGTATTTATTATGTCTCCTGAACAGATTTAAGAACTTGGAAATACTCAAGCACTAAATTCAGGAAGGGGAACAGAACAGGACATAATTCACTTTTTTTTAAAAAAGGGAGAACTTGGCAGCCAGAGTTTTATTCACATTTTTTAAAATACTAGTCATTTTATTACAGAAATAAAATACCATGTTTATTCAAGGTCATGTAGAACAACAGCCTGTTGTTAATAAGCTATGCATTTCTCCTAATGAAAAATATGGAAAACATTATTTAGTCACATTGAATGTTAAGATTCAAGAGCAGGAGAAGGGCCCTGCTGGATCAAATCACAGACCCATGTTTGACTCAGGACTCCAGTACCACAAAGGACCATCGCTTCCCCATATGAACCTACCTGAGCCTGATGATCAAAACCAGAGGCCCTTCTTCATGTGCCTCTTTAGAGGGAGCTGCAGAAGGTGGCGATGAGAGAACAGACCATTTTAGTCATGCCTCCCCAACTGTGGAAAATGCGCCTGGTGCAAACATTGCCAGCCTTTACGTACCAAAGACATTTCTGTTTACTAGGAACAGGTGAATCTGCCAATTTCAGATTCTCTCACTTTCTCACTTTTTCCAGACTTCAGTTCTGCAGATTTTCACATTCCTTTGCGGTATTTTTTGTTTTGTTTTAAGCCCTCGTGAAATTTCAACAGCTTTTTAGTGGCAATTGCTCCCTATCTACATGTTTTTAGATGCAATATTGCCTGATATACAGCTTTGCAAAGCATATTTCCCCTGTTATTTATATTTCCCTTAATATAACGCCTTTTTGTATGTTATTTTCACTTATACACTATTTTTTTAATTTATTTATTTCACAAAAATTATACACCATTCGGTTGTAACAAAACCTCAAAACAGTTTGCACGCATCTTAATGCACCTCTGTGGCACACTTTACCTTAGCATATGCATTTTGGTGTATACCTTACTTGGACGGCAAAATTCAGAGACGTGCGCATTGCGAAGGACAGCTGCGTTTCAGAAAGTGTGGATTAGATAGATTTATGTTTAAATGCACACTGAATCTAATTTTCCCCCATCCCTACTCTGGATCCCAGGTCTCTGGATCTTAATTTAGATCGCAATGTGGTAAGATCTATGGCAGGTTTTTATGTTCATCAGTTAGAGGGGTGGGATTTGTCCTTTTAATTCTTCCTGATGAGCTTTAGCATTTCTCTGGTTTGTTTCCTGTTTATCCTACAGTATTTTGGAATTTGAATGGTTGATAAGTTGGGTTTCTAAATATGCTGCAAGTCACTCTGAGATGTTTTGTAAAAAAAGCGAAGACCAATTATAATAAAAATCTAGTCCGTCATCCTGTTTCCCACCCGGCCAACCAGATGTTTCTGTTATTCCCAGAAACTGGTGTTCAGAGGCATGTCTCTCATCCTGGAGACAGTATTTAGCCATCATGACTAGTAGATAACTTTATCCTCTTTGAGTTTATCTAATGCCCTTTGAAAATTACCCCTTTGCAATCCCTCTTCACATGTTATTGCACAAAGGAGCAACATGGATACCAAGTGGTCGAGCGTTTAGGCCTGCCTCTGTGGTCTTGTGGCTTTCCCTAGCCTGTTATATGTTAGGAAAAATCCTGAAGCAGGAAGCTTTTTCTGTTTGTGGAGATTTCCATCTTACCCCTGCAGGATTAGAGTTCCAAATCCCATGGGAAGCCTAGATGGATAGCACTTCAAATCGTGTGTAATAGTGGGAGAAGGACCTTAGATATTAGGATGGAGTCGCTGCAAGTTTGCCCCTGTTTTTTTTGCACATAATATGTTGGGAGTATTAGATTTTGAATTTCTGCATGTGCAACCACATGGGCAGGCAAACAAAAAGGAATATTCACATTGGCCTACAACATCTCAGAGAGCCATTTGGTGCTTGCTCCTCGATAATAGGATTACCACTGGGGTGTAAAGCATGGGCACTTGTCCAAGTCCAATTTGTTCCAATAGGTTTTGTGCCAGAGTCTTTCCTTTAAAAAATTGTACTAAGTATATAGTTCATATATATATATATATAGATAGATAGATATATAGATATAGATATAGATATAGATATAGATATAGATATAGATATAGATATAGATGATATAGATATAGATATAGATATATGTATATATGTATATATATATATACATATATATATTCATCTATCCTTAGATTTAGGAGACAATTTAAGGTATTCCTATTTGACCTAGTTAATGACAAACTGACACTGGTATTGTTAAATTTAGATATAAAGTGTGATGATCTGATGCTTAACTAATTAAGGCAATGCCTTGAGTTAAATATTTTTAGAAAGGCTAGTGGAAATGGATTTAGACAACAAATCCAATCTACGTCCCTTACAAAGCCAGATTCATAAAGTTTATTTCCTGTAACTAGGTAATAATCATATTATTAGGGCTGTAATCCTATACCCACTTTTGTAAACTTTATCGAGGTCAATGGGGGTTTCTTCTGAACAGGCATGTATAGGATTGTCCACACAAAGCTCACTCTTTTTTCGAAGACTTATAAACCACTTTTCAGAACAATCTTCTTACAAAGTGGTTTACAACCCCTAAAAAGATCAGTGCTATTTTCCTAGAAAAAGAGGTGCCGGAGCTCACCATAATCGCTTCCATTGTTCTTTAATCACGGCAGCTGACCACAAATACTTCCATTGCTCTCTAATAATGGCAATGGCACCCACCTGAGAAGTGTCAGAACTGAGTTCTGGAGAGTTCCTTCCGATAAAAAGCCCTGCAGATAACAATCAATAAAACACAACAAGCTATTAATCAGAACACAGTAATATAAATAAGGGGATGCAGGGCCCTTCCAGAGCAAGGCATTATGGGTGGAGTTTCAGTAGAGTTTTGCATGAATCTACTATAAGAATATTTAGCTGACGCACGCTGCCATTTCAGATTGGACTTGTCTTTCCATTCACCTGGACACCTTCCTCCTTACAATTCCTGTGAAGTTCCCTAGTGGAGAGGAGATAAACATTTCAAGCACACATATTTATTAGTGCCCAGTGGACTGCAGACACACAAATCGTTTGTATAGCTGCATTAGCATGGTGTCTAATTCAGACCAGTCCGTGCAACGTTTGTGAAGGCTGTAATTAGAAGAGCATTGCTAAGTGCTGGCTAGAAAACAAAATAATCCTGGAATATATTGTTCTTGCCAAGGAAGAAAAGGCGGGAGGGTTATCTCAAGTGCTTTCTAAGACTGGGATATCATTTATTTTCCTTATTATTTCACATTCTGATGGGAGAGAGCCTGCTAACAGTTGAATATTATTGTTTGCAAATTAATGCTGTAAGGCTCTTTTTCAAAAAAGTCAAAGCTGCACTACTTTGATTTCTTCTGAGGAAACTTTTTCCTAATGGTTTGCTACAGTGGTTAATCTTTTTCTTGGCCAATACCAAGTTTAAATCCAGTCCAAATGCCACTTCTCAGTCACAGCTGTAAAGGATTAAAAATGATTATACAGGCATTTGTCATCTTGCCTGATACATAAGTTCATGTCAACGTTATCTTCGGAACTGACATCCAGTTTCATCTTTGAGGTGAGAGAATAAACTGTTGACTAAATGGATTAGCTATAATGCAATTAGTGCCCTATTCACAAATGATTCGTTGAGTGCAAGGACTAAAACACAGGGGTAAGATGTGCATAGAAAAGGGGAAGAAAATGGAGGGAGTGGGGGTGGATGTACTATTCAGTATTTTGCATCCATTCTCTGCGGCACATAGGGAAACAGACTCAGCAAAGAAAGCTTTAATTTGGTAAGGTCGCAATAATGCCACGCAGTGCAAAAATAATTTCATCCAGCAGCTTCAAAGACTTCCATTCAATACACAAGGGGCACAATCCACTAAGCACCTTTGGGGAAGGGGCTGTAGCTCAGCGGTAGAGACCCTGCCCTGCATGCAGAAAGTCCCAGGTTTGATCCCAAGCATCTCCTGGTTAGGGCTGGGAGAAAACGCTGACTGAAAAAACCAGAGACCTGATGCCAAACACTGTAGACATGGCCTGATTTGGCATAAGGCACCTTGCTTTGTTTACGGCAGCTCTTCAACCCCTGTTTGTTGCAAGGTGTTTCTAAGGAGCTTGTGTCCAAGCCACCTGAAAAATGCATGCAGGCTGCCCAACCTTATATGGCCATAGCAGAGGCCAGCAAATATATTTGGTAAATATATGGTCTTGTTAGGCGGTATACTTCGTGGGGTGCTGGATGGGTGGACAATATGCCTACATTAATCTTAACTGGACCATAAAGAAGGCTGATCGCTGAAGAATTGATGCTTTTGAATTATGGTGCTGGAGGAGACTCTTGAGAGTCCCATGGACTGCAAGAAGATCAAACGTATCCATTCTTAAGGAAATCAGCCCTCAGTGCTCACTGGAAGGACAGATCCTGAAGCTGAGGTGCCAATACTTTGGCCACCTCATGAGAAGAGAAGACTCCCTGGAAAAGACCCTGATGTTGGGAAAGATGGAGGGCACAAGGAGAAGGGGACGACAGAGGACGAGATGGTTGGACAGTGTTTTTGAAGCTACGAACATGAGTTTGACCAAACTGCGGGAGGCAGTGGAAGACACGAGTGCCTGGCATGCTCTGGTCCATGGGGTCACGAAGAGTCGGACACGACTAAATGACTAAACAACAACAAATCTTAACTGTGCATGAACATCCTGCTGCTAATACCACCACTGCCACCACACTGCTGCTATTGCTTCTAAATCAACCTGATGCGGCAAGAGGAAAATGGTGGAAAGTCCTGAGTTCAAATCTACCTCAGGTCACAATGGACTCACTGAGTAGTCAAGCCACCTGCCTCTCAGCCAAAGTCTACAGTCTCTGTGATTTGATGTCATCAATACTGGCCTGTTCTATAACTCCTAACCCTCCACAGACTTGGGGATAGTGGAGTGGGTGCAAAGCCCCATTATGCAAGTGGAAGTCATTTCACTTGTGCAATTACTTAGCTGAATCCCGCCCAATGCTTAGTTCTGGCATTTGTGGTTTGCATCTGTTCCTTATGAGTAGATGTTGTTTTATTAATGAGCAAATAATTTTGAGTAGCCTGCAAAAAGAGCAATCCTTCTCTTTCTTATTCTTCATGAAATTAAAGCAAAGCTTTAATGTCACAACAATCCCAATATTAGGTGAATTCTTCCTTGTTCATTGGATTTCTGCCGAATTGGGAACTGGGAAACATGTTTTCTAAAGTGCAAAAATGAGTTGTAAAATGAAGCAAACCTAAGAAGGAAAAGGAAAAAACCTGTACTGATGGGGATATTATTTTGCAAAGACAATGTAAACTCAGATTCATGAATGTCATCGCTGTGGTAAAAACTGGCACTCACAAAAGCCTTGTCCTTGGCAGGTTTGTAATAAAAAGGGAACACTTGCTGTCTTACTGAGCTACAGTATCTATTTAACCACCTCGCTGGTCTTGGCTCCCTGGAGAATCCAAGGGGAGAAATCTCCAAGAATTACACTGGTCAACAACAAATTTGTTGTCTGAGTTTTTTCAGTTGATTTAGGACGAATCTGATGTGCTGAATCCAAAAATCACATTGGTTTTGCTCAATCAGGTCAAGTTTTTGAGCTATGGCCACATGTTGTTTTTTTACGTTTTTGTTCACATGTACGCTTGTGTGGAGCATTTTAGAAGAAGTTGGTGGGGGTAAAATGCCATGTCGAATAATTGTTTTGATTGGAAATGATTATTTAAATGATAAGAAGTATTCAGGTCCGATAGTTCTGCGTGATTATGTCGAAAAGGGATCAGTTTGAAGTCATAAAACCTCGAAATCTTCCATAAATTGGTGCGGCAAAGCATAAAGTTATTTTGATATTAAACTTGGTGACCAGGATAAAGCTTGGGTGCCACACACAGTGAGCAAGGCATGCACCGAGACTCTACGTGGGTGGACCAATGGCAAGAGGAGTCTGAACTTTGGAATTCCCATGGTTTGGAGAGAGCCGACAAACCATGTCACTGACTGCTACTTCTGCGCTGTTGATGTGACTGGGATCAACAGAAAGAACCGGAGCAGCCTCAAGTATCCTGATCTTCAATCAGCACGTCATCCTGTAGCTCATTGTGATGAAATTCCAGTGCCTATCTTCGGAGAACTTCCTGACATTAGTGACGAAGATGCCTCCAGTGTTGAAGGACATGAAGAAGAAGAAGTGGTTCTTGAAGATGATGCTCCACATCCATTTTCCCAAAAGGAGTTGAATGATCTAGTTCGCGACCTCAGCTTGTCAAAGGACTCTGCCGAACTGTTGGCATCCAGATTGAAGGAAAAAACCTCCTCTCTGACAGTGCTCGCATCAGCTTCTTCCGCAACAGGCATCAAGAGTACCTCTGTTTTTTCTCGGAAGAGAAGGACTTGGTGTACTGTGCAGATATTGCGCAGCTTCTGCTCAAGCTTGGAGTGCCACAGTACGAACCCAAAGATTGGAGACTGTTCATTGACAGCAGCAAGCGATCACTGAAATGTGTTCTGCTACACAATGGCAACCAGTTTGCCTCTATACCCCTGGCTCACTCGACTACACCGAAGGAGAACTATGAAGTGGTGAAGTATGTGCTGGAGAAAATTGGTTATGATCAGCATAAGTGGTTTATTTGTGTTGACCTGAAGATGGTGAACTTTTGTTGGGACAACAGTCTGGCTTCACCAAGTACCCATGTTTTCTGTGCATGTGGGATAGTAGGGACCGTGCTCAGCATTACACGAAGAAGGACTGGCCTGTGCGGGAGGAATTGGTGCCTTGCAAAGAAAGGAACGTCATCAACGACCCTCTGGTGGACAGAGACAGAATACTCTTCCCACTGCTGCACATCAAGCTCGGCTTAATCAAGCAGTTCACCAAGGCTCTGGACAAGGATGGTGACTGCTTCACTTACTTGTGCCAGGCTTTTCCAGGATTGACCATGGAGAAGTTGAAAGCTGGCATCTTTGACGGTCCTCAGATCCGTCAGCTCATCAGAGATCCAGAGTTCGGAAACTCAATGAACGAAGTGGAACTGGAAGCGTGGAAGGCATTTGTTCTGGTAGTGAAGAACTTTCTTGGCAACAATAAGGCCAGAAACTACGCAGAACTTGTCAACAACATGCTGACTGCTTTCAGAAACCTGGGCTGCAACATGAGCGTCAAGATGCACTACCTATTTTCACATATGGACCGGTTTCCTGAGAACCTGGCTTCAATGAGTGACGAGCAGGCGTGAGATTCCATCAGGACATGAAAGAGATGGAGACCAGGTATCAGGGTCGCTGGGACGCAGTCATGATGGCTGACTACTGTTGGACTCTGAAGAGAGACCTCCCTGCCGCTGAGCATTCCAGGAGTTCCAAGAAACGGAAGTTCAAGCCCTGAAGTTTGAAAAATGGTGAAGCAACATGCAATTTACGTGTACTTACCTTTATCAATGCCCACCATTCAGTTTACAGTAATCGATGTTTCTATCAGGTAATCAATATATGTTGTTGGAAAAACATTTTATTCTCTTAAAAACATATTTAGGATGATATGTGTTGACAAAAATCAGCTGATAATGCCACAAAAATGTAATCGATTTTGTCACAAGATCTGATTTTTTTCAAATCAACATAACACAAAAACCTGACCTGATGGAGAGAAACGGATGCCATTTCCTGATTCAGCAGTGCAAAAATACCTTAAATCAGTTGTAGAAATCTAGACAACATTCAAAAAGTAAAAAATTGTTACCCAGTGTTATTTTCCAAGTACTTAATTGTTCCAGCTTTACTAAGTCTTTCTTATCTCCTGACTGCTTCAGTTATCCTGGAAGTGGGGAGGGGGAGAAGGAAAGTACTTGTGCGAACTGAAAGAGGCAGACATAGTGTTCATGGATAATTTTTAAGGTGAGACTAAACATTTCCCTGCATTTCCTTTCCTTTCCACCTTGCCAGATAAACACAGAACCAACCAGCTTAGGTGCTATTGCTTCTCCTTTTATATAAGCAGATGCAAAAATGAGGACTAGAACGGAATACAATTTACAGACTTTGGCAGTGCAGCCTAAAGCACATCATTTTGCATTTATATTAACTGAGGTGGTCAAAGAGGGGTGGGGGGAAGAAAAAACAAAACAAAAAGCTGAGGTGGTCAAAGCTTTCCATATTTCCATATCCCATATGGCTCTACTTTCTGCACCAGGCGCTACCCCTCACCTCCTTTCAAGAGAGAATGTGTTGGAAATAATGGATGCAATGCTAAACTATGGTGGTTAAATATGGCACTTAACTATGGCTGAGTAGTTTTTGTAGCAGACTACTATTTTAAAGGCGCATTTGATCGGTTACTACAAATGACCTGATGACATCATTGCAATGCCACAGTGAGATTTGCCATCACTTTAAATTTGATATCTGAAAGCGGAGAGATAAACATGTCCTTTCTTTGAATCCAATGGGAGCAAAATCATTCCCATATGGAATCATTTGGAGGGAGGGGGAGATGAGGCTTTTGCTTGGTGGGAGATCTGTGATTATATGACAGTGATCCATGTCAATGAGGACCAAATGGGTGGTTTATCCTTAGGAAATGCTGTTTGTGTTTCTGATACGTATTTACTATAAGTAAATATTAAGTAATTCAATTCAGCTGACACGCTTATTAAGAACCGAAACCTTCTCGTTTTTCTCATGTTCCCCTATTAGCTTCCACAAGATTCATCAACATGGCGAGGCAGAATCAATCGTTCTGAAGATGTACGTAGAGACAAGCCAACTCCATCTAGGTTTGTTATCAAGGATGCATTTTAGCAGAGGACCACCACAGCATCCTTTCCCAACCTGGTGCCCCCCTCCAGATGTTTCAGACTACAAATCCTTTCTCACATGCATTTTAACTGGAGTCCCCCCCCCCCCGATCACAGCAGCCACCAGGCAAAGGCAGCACAGTAAACACCCATTTCC